ATAAGTCTCTTTTGCGGTATGCATTGGTACTCATGGATGTTTCCATGCCCGTCATGGACGGCAACGAAGCCATTTCCGCCATTCGACAAGCTAACATCACCGTACCCATTGTGGCATTGAGTGCCAATGTCTTGTCACAAGAACAAGACAAGACCATTTGTTTGGGAGCCGACGAATTCCATACCAAGCCCATTCTACGAAACAATCTACATGCCATTTGTGAACGATACTTGGTGGCGTCACCGCCGGGACTTGTGGTGGACACTCACTTTACTCCGTTGAACCGACCCGCCCACGATGATGACGGCACGAATGGTTTGAAGTAGGGCATGCTTCACCAAACTGCCCTCTCAGCTGTAAGAACGGCGACGAAGACGCATAGCTGTCATTGCAATGCAGGGGGGGGGGGGGCTTTGGTTGTGCTGGAAACAAGCAATGCCCGGGCGTACAATATTTTCAAAACTGCCATTCGACGTACGGTATCGGGCATGCATTCCCAGAGCACTAGTGCATTGGACCTACTAGCATAGCTTCCAGCATAACTGCATTCGAAATCCATAGGTTTGCGTTGAAGAAACATGGCAAGTACAACGTTCCCGTCGAAAGATGATCCCCCCCGACAAATACTCAAACACGACAACGATCCACGCAAAATGAGCGCCTACAGGACGCTTTGATTGCTGAATGTCAGAGTCTCAGCCAAGAATCTTTTGGTAACTAGTTATAGTTATTATTATGATTTTGATTATTACTGGCTAGATATGACAACGAATCGATTCCAGACCAGTGAACTCTAACTGGCAATTTCTCTCCCAGCTTCAGACTACAGCATCCTGGTTGGTAGGGGAATCTTCCTGACTAGTCAAACCACTGACTTGTCCACTACAAATTGGCACTATGTTAACCTCAATCTCTTCAGGGTATCAACATCTGTCATGGTCTTCCTTGACATTCTTACCTGGTCAAAAGTGAGCAAGTTTTGCAAAATAGTGCAAGAGTAGGGTTTTAATGATTGAGCCTGCAAGGCCATATCAGAGCAGCGGGTTCAGCATCCCTACAATAATCTTAACAATTTCGCAAAAGCACCAAAGTGCATCTAACGGTGGGCAGTTCATTGGACAGCAAATGGTGTTAGATATTATCTCTATAGAGGCTGCAACCAGCACGTGCTTAGAATTGCAGCCACTTCTGCCGGATTTCAGATATCGGATTTTCATTCTCATCTGAGGTCCCTTTCCTCTGGGCTTCTTTGCAGGAGGAGGGCCATTCTCCTCATCTTTAGGGCGGATAACCGAAGCAATGGTATCGCCATTATCCAACAGAGTTACCACTGCGTGGCAGGCAAGTAATTGCGACTGGCCAGGAGTGCATCAACGGCTTCTTGACCATTACAAGCCATGCGATGTTCAATGCCAAACGTGGTCAGCATTTTGCCCAGGATCTTTCGATTGACCGAATTGTCGTCGACCACCAACACGACATGATTGTTGGGAGGTAGATTGAAGGATTTAGTGATAGTCCTGCTTCTTTCAAAGGCAGTGCTGCTGCTGCTGGACGTCTTCGATCTTTCCGACATTGACATGGATTGCTTGTCCAGCATATTCTCCGTGGAAGGACTCGATGGTTTTGAAGGAGGGGGTATTACTGTCGTTGTGGAGAAGAGTGGAGGAGGTTGTAGTAGCGTTGTTGTGCTTTCCTTCCCATTCGTGATGTCCGTTTCGTGATGTGCAATGTTGTCTTTGTTTTGGTTGGAGTCGGCATCAGCCTGATGACTGATCATGGATGACAAATCTTGGGACGACGTATGTGTCCAATTGGGCATGCGCTGACATTTCAAAAAGTTGTTGGAAACTTGCTTCTGATCATTGGGCAAGAGCTCTCCGACATAGTTCATATTGTTGTTGTTGGTGGCTTTGTTGGAGGCGGTTGTAGTAAGAGGATTGGTATTACATGTATGTTGTTCCTCTGGCAGTTGCACGGGCAAATGAAGATGAAAGGTAGCTCCTTCCCCGGGTCGACTAGTGACATTGATAGTCCCTCCCATGGCTTTGGTCAAACTGGAAATGATGGAAAGTCCCAATCCAGTTCCCCCATGTTGTCGGAAATCGCTAAGTTTGGCCTGCGTGTAGGGTTCAAAGATGTCGTGCAATCGTTCGTGTGGAATGCCAATCCCCGTGTCGGCCACCACAATGCTCAATACGACCTTCTTGTTGTCGTTGGTCGTGTGATGATGATGATGATGATGATGATTGTGACTCAACAAGGCCATGGAAAAGACTTGCGCTTCTTCGTCGTCGTCGTCCTCAGTTGTCTTATTGGCAAACATTGCGACGGGTCGATGATGGCTCATGGTGACAGTGTCGTTTGTTTCGTCCGCATCATCTCTTTGCTGCCGCCGCCATGCCGCATAGGATTCCAACGCGGCAACTTGCACCGATATCCTCCCCCGCGATGTAAACTTCAAGCTGTTACTGAGCAGATTGTAAATGATTTGCACCATGCGGACACTATCCCCCAAGACAAATTGCGGGACACTGGCGTCGACACGACACTCAAAGTCCACGGCTCCCTGATGTTTGTGTCGGACTTGCCGTCCCATATTGTCGCCCAATCGTTTGAGGAGGGCGTGCAAATCGAATTGACGACATTCCAATTGGAGTTTGCCACTGTCCAGTTTGCTCAGATCCAACACATCATTGACGAGTCGCAACATGAGGAGACTGGAATCCAAAATGCTTTGGACTTCTTCGCTCGCCACTTGATCCGCCATGGTCGTAATACTATCTTGCAAACACTCGGCACTGCTGGTAATGGCAAAGAGTGGATTGCGAATTTCGTGACAGAGAAATGCCATGAACGTGAAGAGTTTGGATTTGGAGTCTTTGGTTTCATTTTGAAGATTGGCCACGGCCGTGTCCAAGAGTGTAAACATGTCGGGAATGAGAGGAATCAAGTAGACGGCAGTGGTGGTGGAGACGAGGGCATTGCCGCATTGGATCCACGTGAACCAACGGGAATCGCCCTGTCGGAACGCCAATAGGAGGTGGGCCGTGCCGCAGAGAAAGAAAAAGAGCGCCACGAGGATGAGGCAGAAAATGAGGCGCGGGGGAATGTCGTGGCGAAGAGGGGAGTGAGAGAGACACCGGCAGAACTGGAGTGGGATAAAGATGTAGGACATTGTCACCATGAGGTGACTCACCGCCAGGAGATCGGTAGTAGTAGGCATGATAGCTAGATAGAAGATAGATGGACCGTGGCTTCACTGACAGGTGGGTATTAGTATTTTGCTTGCTGGATGTGATGACTTCAACAAAATTTGATGAGACCCATAGAAGTGAGGGTTTCAGATCGAGGCACAAAACAGAACAGAGAAGAGTGCTTGGGATGCTTCAAGGAGTCCTTCAATCTTCAATGTGCAGGCTGAGAAGAGAAGACAGAGAAAGGGTTGTTGCAGCTTGCTTTCAGCCTTGCATGGATGAATGGCAAGGCTTCGTCGTTGATCGGTTGATGGGTTGGGATCTTGGGATTGAGAGAACTCAAAGACTTTACCTTCGGGTCACTCACAGAAAGTTCGGATTTACAGTAAAAGAACGTTGTTGAAGATTGGAAAGTGTCTCGCCTTCTTTAGTTCGCTAAATGGAAACTCGTGAATGACTCTGACTCAGAAAACATGACTTATTCTGTGACTGGTACCGGTAGCCCTGTGGGTGAACAGCTGCTGTTTACGTTTCGACGACGTCGGACTGTCACTCGACTCGACTCGACTCGACTCGACTCAGTCCAGTCGGATGAGCTGTTTTGCAACCTGGCTCACATTTTGCTGACAAATGCCCCAAAACTCAGAGCTGTCTGCTGACAAAGATAACCACGCCATTGCAATGCTCGAGGCAACACCCCATCCAATATCTCTCACAAAATCAACTCGAGCAACACGAAAAGGAAACAAAAACAACCCAAACAAAAACACCAACAACAATGAAGATTTCTCAAACTGCCACCGTTCTTGCCACCATGGCTCTCACTGCCTCCACCGCAAATGCCTTTCTTTCAACCACTTCTCGTCCTCAAGCAACCAGTACTACTCTTTCCGTCGCCGCAAGCATCGATTTGATGCAGGAAACCGATGCCATCTTTGACAGTATCGACATCAACCAAGATGGAACCATCACACGAGAAGAACTCTGCAATCACTTGACCGATACCATGGGATATGCCCCCGACTCGGCCCAGTGCCGCTATCTCTTTGATGCCGTCGATGGGGACAGCAGCGGCGAAATCTCCAAAGACGAGCTACGAGCTGCCTTTTTCCAAAATGATGGTAGCATGACACGTCTGTACACGGCCTTTGGCATGGGGGGAGTCCGCATCGAGAACGCTCCGTCCTTTCCCGACCGAGTGCTGGAAACCGATGGTCCGTTGTCACTCGACGATTTGGCCGACATGGCATTTGACTTGATCGATGTGGATCGCAGTGGGACGATTGAGCCAGACGAATTGCGACAACACGTGGTCGCCGTAACCGGGGACAAGAAAGGGACCGAGGCGCAAACGCAAGAATACGTTGACACTATCTTTTCCGTGTTGGATCGGAATCTAGATGGAGTTGTCAACCGAGAAGAAATGAGGGATGCCTTTCAACAGCACGATTCCCGATTCTTGTACTCGACTCTGGGGTTGCCAGTGTACAAAAAGAGAAACATGATGTAAACATGAGTTCAAAGCTCACAGAAGAGGGCTTTAATGAGGTAGATAGACGCTAAAGTGATGACTTAAAATAAAAAAGAATAGTATGCCAGTAGAGGTTTCCTGCGTAGCACCGGTTAGTACCAATTCGCTTGAGCAGGTCCATGGTACAGGGCGTAGTGAACTTGAGGCTCTTAGGCGTAACAAAGCCTGTTATTTATGGGATTTTGAGGCAGCCAGCCATTCCCTACATGCGGTCGTCACCCCATGCATGGCACGGGGCGACATGTCTTTTCATTCCAAGGGCACCCATGTGAACAGGCCCATTCGAGAATATCCAAATGCCCGCACCAGGCAGCCCATCAACCACGGTGTGTTATCACTTGGGCAGGCTTTTTCTTGATTTCCGCAACACAATACTCTTTGTAGAGAGTTTGTTCAACGTCTTGTTGAGGGCTCCCACAAAGGCACAGTGGCCCACATCCAAATAGGGAAGCATGTTACTGGTCCTCCTGATCAATCAACCTTGCCGCGCCACAAGCAAGCACGAGCACCCCACGGGATTTGGAGAGTGTTCATGAGGGAATTATGTGACAAAGGGGGGACAGCCATTGTCACAAGCCCACTGCAGGACTTCGTCATTGTAGGACATTTTTGCAGACTGACGCGTTTTGCCATCCCAAGGGCACCCATTTGCCCGTAACCATTTGAGAACATCCAAATGCCCCCCTCCTGCAGCACCAGCACACGTCCCTTCATTCCAAGGACAACCATTGGAACGGGCAAATTTCAGAATGTCCAAGTGTCCACCCCTTGCAGCACTAGTACAGGTCTGTGTATCCCAAGGACAACCATTGGAACGGGCAAATTTCAGAATGTCCAAGTGTCCACCCCTTGCAGCTCTAGCACAGGTCTGTGTATCCCAGGGACAACCATTGGAACGGGCAAATTTCAGAATGTCCAAATGCCCCCCTGCTGCAGCATAAGCACACGTCCAATTCGTTCCAAGCACAACCATTGGAACGGGCAAATTTCAGAATGTTCAAGTGGCCACCCTGTGCAGCACTAACACAAGTCTGTGTATCCCAAGGGCACCCATTCGCTCGCGCCCATTTCAGCAACTCAAAATGGCCACCTCCTGCAGCACCACGGCATACCCCAACATCCCAGTGACAATTCTTCTGTCTGGCCCACTTCAAAAGCTCTAAATGACCGTGTTTGGCAGCATTGGAGCATATCCGCTGACTCAAAGGGCAGCCATTTTCCCAAACCCACACTAGAACTTCCAAATGTCCGCCTTCGGCTGCCGCGGCAGTTGTCCAATGGTTCCATTTGCACCCATTCTCTCTGGCCCACTTCAACAGTCCCAAATGGCCACCTTTAGCAGCTGCAATGCAGGTTGATTCATCCCATGCACAACCATTGTTTCTCATCCATTTTAGGAGTTCCAGATGGCCATATTCCGCAGCTTGTGCGGATGCCTGTCTGGCACTACCCCATGAAAATTTTGCATTGCGTGCCCATTGCATGACTGGAAGGGACCCAACCTTGGCAATATGGGTGCAAACCCAATAGTGAGCTGGGGATCGATGGCGAGAAGTGTCACTGTTCCAGTATTCGGCACATGCCACATTGTGGAATGCAGCAGAATAGTAAGTATCCCTATAAGTTGCCTTACTGTGTTGGGGGGTTGCCCGACGCTCTTGGTGCGGTGTCTTGACATTTGGTGGATCTTTCACAGAATCACAGTATTCCTTGTAAAGTTGATTCATTTTCTTGTTAACGGTTCCAACAAAGGCATATTGCCCCATCCCAAGAGAAGGAAGGATATTGTTGATCCAAAGATCCTTCTGATCAAACAGAACATCAATAGCGGGTGATGACTTCTGTCTTTTGGTATTGGGCTGGGAAGACATGGCGAACTGTATGGCTGATCGAGAACTACCAGTAAGAAGTAAAGAGAAGAGAAACTCTTTGTTCTGGCCGTCGCAATGTAGGCGGCTGAGTCCAGCTGATAGGTGCTGCAATGGCGATAGTGGGCGGTGGGGGGCTGCTGGCTTTCTTGCCTCCAGTTTTGGGTCGCTTGGGTTCCGAGCTCCGCGTGTGAGACGTGAATTTTTGAGAAACTGTGCGTCTCATTTCTTTCTTCTTCGAAGCTTCTGATTCGATTTCCTCAAAAACAAAAAGCAATTTCCTTTGAGCTTACGGTCTTACGGTGCAGGTAGCGGTGCCCAAGCCATGTCCTGTTTGATGCAGCTGACTGTGTTATCAGTTAAAAGCGGTGCCAGAATGAATGCAAATTGACCTGATGAATGGACGTCCCAGATCACGGTATCCTCGCTTCTGGCTGTTTTTTCTGTTTTTACATGTAATCGCACCATCGTCTTGCACCAATGAATCTTCCAAGGCCGTTATTATTGCACCGATTGATGACAGCGAGCCACAACAAGCATCCCTGGAGGAACGGCTGACAGAGAAATGGTGGGTCTCTCGGGCCCATTTGCAGTTTTGGGGCTTTTCCAAAGACCACCCGAGACGGCATTTTGGCACGCTCTATGATGTTTCTCAGACGCCAACCGCCCGCGAGGAGGCTTCTATCTGCGTCCAATGGCGCGTCACCCGGCAAGTAGTCTGTCCCACGGATCTCTCATTCTGCCCTTTGAAGATCCGAGTGGCAGGTTTCTGGAGAGCAAACTAATCCTGGCATTCTCTACTACAACCTTTGCGAAAGAGATTATGAAGGTTCCACCACTCTTCTTGTGGAAGAAAAGTTCTTGTCCATTCTAAATAATATGGACGACGACAATCAGTTAGTGTTGAGAATCTTGGGTGAGCGATCAAAGAGATTCTCTCCCGAGAAGAATGAGAGCGTTGTATTGCGCGATTGCTGGAGCAACCACACGCGTGGTTGGACCTGCAGTCGGCAAGCAGATACTACTACCAGTAGCTAGCTGGTATGGGATTATGGCGTCTGGTAGTAAGGTTCTAGATAGGAGTGAGGACTTGGACTTGGGTTCTTGAAATGCCAGAGAGAGCCAAGCAGTTTCACTACTACCGGTATGGACGATGCAATGCACGAGCGATCATACCGTAGACGATGAGACGGCCGTGGCACTACGTGTAGTACGGTACCTGGTACCTTGATTACATGTAGTTCAACTCAAATGTGCTTTCTACAAGTACCGGTATTCATTCGCCTGGTTTTGTACGCTTTCTACATGTACTCCTCTCGTACGGTCGGGATATTCGTGATGATCCAATCCGCAAGGTGACCCGGAACGTCTCCTCTTAATTCGCTTGTGCCATGCAGCCAGGAGGGAACAGAGGAGCATTTGCTATCAGCATACAGTGTAGCTTTCAGTGCCTTTTACTATCAACGGCGTGTTTCTAGCTACTACCGGTAGTAGTGGCATACTTTGCCGTGGCTAGCTGGAAGACTTCATTCGTGATGAGGGTCTCAGGGCGGCGAGAGGGTTTGGTTTGAGTGTTGGCGCATGAACGGGAATTGAAATTGTGAGGAATGATGAATCAGCAAAATTGGAATTGTGAGAAATCGGTAAAAATGTAATTGTGAGAAATCGGAAAAATGAAATTGTGAGAAATCAGCAAAAATGTAATTGTGAGAAATAGGCAAAATTGTAATTGTGAGAAATCAAAAATCGAAAATTGAAATTGTGAGGAATTGAAAATCACAAAATGAAATTGTGAGAAATCGGCAAAATTGTAATTGTGAGAAATCAGCAAAATTGGAATTGTGAGGAAATGGTAAAATTTAAATTGTGAGGAATCTGATATTGAAAGTTGAAATTGTGTGAAATCAGTAAAATCGTAATTGAGAGGAATCAAAAATCGAAAATTGAAATTGTGAGGAATCGATAAAATTGAAATTGTGAGGAATCAAAATTGAAAATTGAAATTGTGAGAAATCAAAAATCAAAAATTGAATTGTGAGAAATCAAAAATCAAAAATTGAATTGTGAGGAATCGGCAAAAATGAAATTGTTAGGAATCGGGAAATCCAAAATTGTAATTGTGAGAAATCAGCAAAATTGAAAATTGAAATTGTGAGGAATCGGCTATTGAAAGTTCAAATTTTGAGGAATCGAATCGGAAAAGTGAAATTGTGAGAAATTGGAAAGTTGAAATTGTGAGAATTTTGTCTAGTGTTTCTTAAAAGTGAGAGAAGAAACGGCAAAACCTCGTCGCCCAAAAAGATTTCCATCTCCATTTCTTCTTTGCTTTCTACCGATACTACCGGTAGCCAGTATCCTTCAGCGAGCTAGCTAGCTAGCAGCCAACTACTGTACTACTGCACCGGTACCTTTTGGAACAAGGAGAGAGTAGTTGAGAGAGTTATCTAAGAATGGTGTATCGAGTGGATAGCATCATTGTCGATTATTGGATGGGCCGAGGCAAAAATAATGGACCCAAAAAGCCCCGTGTTGTGGGAGTGTCCAAGGACGGACAGTTTGAAGATGCCAATGACAATGACGACAACAAGAATGCTTGTGGTCAGTTTGACGATGCCAGTGACAATATGGATAACAATGGTACTGCAAAGGAGCCAGCACAGCCATGTTGTGATCCACCACTCGTGGCAGAGACGAACCAAAAGACGATTGGTGGACAATCATCCACCTTTGGTACCATTACTACTACTGCCACTACTGTTGTGGACGACGACTATGATTTGGATGTGAAATTCCAACAACAGCGAAAAGAGCTTTGCCAGAAAAAGGCCTACCAACGCTTGATTGATGGACCGATTGTGAAGACTGTGGAAAAGGAACAACCAGAAGCGGTGGAAGAAATACACGAAAACAAAGCTGGGAATGCTGGAGAGGACAGCGACGACGACGAGGAGAATGAGAAATCACGGCGACAACATCGCATGGGGAATACCAGCTCAGATACTATTCAACATTCCATCCAACAAGCTGCAAAATTGACTGACGATTGGGGGAGCAATGCAATTATGGCTTGGGGGAATACGGTCCGGGCGTCCTCCACTGCAACTACACTCACGTTGACCCTGAAGGGCAACTGTCTGGGTTTTGGATTCCAACGAAAAAATCAGAGTGCAAATAATGAAGACAAACGAAACAGCAACAGTAGCAGCAAGCCAGACAAAACTTCAACCACCACAACCACAACAGGGAGAACGAGCACAGCGGAATCAGATGAAACATCATCAGAATCGGGTCAGCCACGGGCACCAGAGGGGCTCAAAGAACCATTGGCAGCAAACGAGTCAAACTCCAAAAGCAGCAACAATCAAAAGGGTGCACAGCAACAATTGCAGCGCGACAGTGACGAATTGCCCGGAAAGGAGTCAGCCCAAACAACTCAAAATACAACAACACAAGATCCAGCAACTACAACGTCGGAGACTACGCCTCAGGAGAACATCACGGGGGAATCTTTGGAACCTGCTCTCCCAGTTCCCCCTGAACCAGAGACTCTAGAAAAAGCTGCATCCAATCCTTCCAAGTCACAGCCGCCACCAAGTGCAGCCGATCCGAAAGCGGTTCAGGTTGACGCGACAGCTAGCGATAAGATTGCACGCAACACCTGTGCGACCCTCAGTCGAGCAGGCTTGCCCGAGAATGATGCATCCACCAACAAGAATGATGCCACCAAAATGATAGCGTCGAATCAAAATAAGGACAACAAAGGCGATGGAGCCGCAACATCCATTGTGGAACCCACATCGACGAATGGTCCGACGGGTGTATTGGACACGGAAGGTGCCAGGGGAGAGCTTTTGGAACGCAAAACTGGGGCTGGCACAAATACGGAGGCTGGCACGTCCGCTGCGATGGCAACGAAACCGGCCACAACAAGTGCCTCATCAACCTCGACGTCAAAAGCCGATTCGGCGGCAGCCCGAGAGAGAGCTCGACAAGAAAACAGCAGGCATACAGCAGAAGAAGCAGCGAAAACTGCTGAGAGAAAGGCCACTCAAGAGACTAAAGCCAAAGCACGAATTGAAAAAGAAGCTGCCATGAAAAAGGCTGCCAAAGAAGCTACAGCACAAGCTGAAAAAGAAGATGCTGAAAGAAAGGTGGCTGAGAGAAGGGCCATTGAGGATGCCAAGGCAAGAGCCAGTTCAGAAAAGGAAGCTGCTGAGAGAAGAGTTGCTCAAGAGGCCGAGGCAAAAGCCAGAGCCGTAAAGGAAGCTGCCAATAGAAAGGCTGCGGAAGAGGCTGCAGCTAAGGCAAGAGCTGAAAGGGAAGCTGCTGACAGAAGGACTACCAAAGAGACCGAAGCAAAAAAGGAACTTGCCAATAGAAAGGCTGCCGACGAGGCTGCAGCTAAGGCACGAGCTGATAAGGAAGCTGCAGAGAGAAAGGTTGAAGAGGCCAAGGCAAAAGCCAGATCGAAAAGGAAGCTGCTGAGAGAAGAGCTGCTCAAGAGGCCGAAGCAAAAGCCAGAGTCGTAAAGGAAGCTGCCACGAAAAAGCTGCTGAAGAGGCCGGGAAGCTAAGGCAAGACTGGAAGCTTCTGAGCGGACACCAAGCAGAAGCGAAGCTGAAAAGGAAGTGCCAATAGGAAGCTGCCGACGAGGCTGCAGCAAAGGCACGAGCTGATAAGGAAGCTGCAAGAGAAGGTGAAGAGGCCAAGGCAAAAGCCAGACCGAAAAGGAAGCTGCTGAGAGAAGAGCTTCTCAAGAGGCCGAGCAAGCAGAGTCTAAGGAAACTGACGAAAAAGCTGCGAAGAGGCGAAGCAAGGAGACTGGAAGCTGACACAGAAGCAGAGCGAAAGCTGAAAAGGAAGTGCCAATAGGAAGGCTGCCGACGAGGCTGCAGCAAAGGCACGAGCTGATAAGGAAGCTGCAAAGAGAAAGGCTGAAGAGGCCAAGGCAAAAGCCAGATCGAAAAGGAAGCTGCTGAGAGAAGAGCTCAAGAGGCTGTAGCCAAGGCAAGAGCTGCAAGGGAAGCTTTTGAGCTGAGAGCCGAGGCTTTTGAGCGAAAGGCTGCCAAAGAGGTGGAGACAATAGCCAAAGCTGAAAAGGAACTTGCCAATAGGAAGGCTGCGGCTGCAGCTAAGGCACGAGCAGACAAGGAAGCTGCAGAGAAAAAGGCTGAAGAGGCCAAGGCAAAAGCCAGATTCGAAAAAGAAGGTGCTGGTAGAAAGGCTGCAAGAACCGCTGAAGCTAAGGGACACAATCAGAAAAAGAGGATGCTGGGAGAAAGGTGGCCACAGTAGCAAATGCTCCAACAGAAAAGAACCCTGTTGAGCAAAAGGCCACTGAAGAGGCAAAGGCAGGAGAAGAAAAGGATGCTGTGAGAAGGGCTGCGGAAGCAGCTGTAACAAGGGCAGGCGTAGAAAAGGATGCGGCTGAGACAAGAGCATTTCGGGCAAACTTGAACGATCCGGGTTCTCCAGCGGCCATCTCCAATGTCGCTTTTGCTGAGACAGTCGAAGGAGACATCGAAGAGGAAGATGGGAGGAAGCCAGCGGGGACCAAACGCACGGGTGAGGACAGCGTCGTCACTCCTTCGAAGGCAAAGCGCAGGAACGAAGTGGAGTTGCTGCTGAATAGCCAGAAAGGAGTCATGTGTGCACCCGAATCAGAAAAAATGCTGCATTTGGCCCCGACGACTGATGCGAAACGTTGCAGCGTTGGGGATCCGAGCAGGGGCAACCACCTGAAAGACACTCCTTTGATCCCGCTGGAGACGACTTTCAAGCCGGCAGCAGAAAGTTCAGGAACCCTCGATCGTGATTCAACTCTCCAGACAAAACCTGTTAAAGATATACAGGCGATTGCATCGGGTGATGGTGAGAATCCATTGGAGAAGTCAAGCAAGGACACACACAAAAATGGCTGGACCGAGGAGAAGGAGAAAACTGGAAGCAACAGTGTTGAAAGATTCAACAAGGGAGCATGGACAGGTAGGTTTCCCACGATAGTTTGTATTTTGAATCTTTCTGGTGGCCAGTTGTGTTTATTGTTTCGGCGGGTTTTTAATGCCAATCTAATTAATTGTTGCTTCTCGAACCGCGCAATTCAGCTGAGGAACGCGAAAGACTCCGGATTGCCCTGCTGCGTGAACCAGACATCGCTTCTGTTGCCAAGCATGTTGGTACACGCCGGATACGGGGGATCCGCCTTTTTGCTCGGAAGACGTTTCCAAAGCTGTTCGAAGAGCTGAGTGAGCGGACTAGCGATGGATCGAGCAGTGGTCAGTGCATTTCTAAGAGTCCCCAGGCTGTCGAAGCGGAACCTGTGGCGGAAAAGGAAGCTGCTGAAAGAAAGGCGGCTGCAGCGGCAAAAGCTCAAGCCGAAAAGGAAGCTGCCGAGAGAAAGGCTGCCAAAGAGGCGGAGGCAATAGCTAACGCCAAAAAGGAAGCTGCCGACAGAAGGGCTGCCGGCGAGGCTGTAGCAAAGGCACGAGCTGAAAAGGAAGCTGCTGAAAGAAAGGCGGCTGCAGTGGCAAAAGCTCATGCCGAAAAGGAAGCTGCTGAAAGGAAGGCTGCCAAAGAGGCGGAGGCAATAGCTAGAGCCAAAAAGGAAGCTGCGACAGAAGGGCTGCGGAGGCTGAGCAAGGCACGAGCTGAAAAGGAAGCTGCTGAAAGAAAGGCGGCTGCAGTGGCAAAAGCTCATGCCGAAAAGGAAGCTGCTGAAAGAAAGGCTGCCAAAGAGGCGGAGGCAATAGCTAAAGCCAAAAAGGAAGCTGCAGACAGGAAGGCTGCTGATGAGGCTGAAGCTAAGGCACGAGCTGAAAAGGAAGCTGCTGAAAGAAAGGCGGCTGCAGTGGCGCAAGCTCAAGCCGAAAAGGAAGCTGCCACGAAAGTTCAAGCCGAAAAGGAAGCTGCCGAGAGAAAGGCTGCCGAAGAGGCGGAGGCAATAGCGAAAGCCAAAAAGGAAGCTGCCAACAGAAAGGCTGCAGCAAAGGCACGAGCTGATAAGGAAGCTGCCATGAAAAATGCTGCGGAAGAGGCTGCAGCTAAGGCAAGGGCTGAAATGGAAGCTTTCGAGCAGAGAGCAGAGACAATAGCGAAAGCTAAAAAGGAGCTTGCAAATAGGAAGGCTGTCGATGATGCTGCGGCTAAGGCATCCCCGCAACAAGCAAAAGCTCATGCCCGCCAATGCAGTGCAGAATCGGAGGCAGTCGTTACTGGTACCAACCCTCAGACAAAAGAGTTTGGCACCAAAATGGGTTACCTTCAAGAAGACTTCGAGCCGTCGGAGAAATCAGTGATCATTGGACAGGGAGGCAGCACAGAGACGAGTGGCATCAGGCATTTGAAATCTGTTATTCAGAGTCATCTGGACGAGTACAGGCTACAAAAGACTTCTGTAAGCATTTCCGGATTGAACTTTCCTATCTGCGCAACTTGTGTCTCTAAACTTCTCCTGGTGCATTTTACTGGACAGACTATCAAAAAGGTTATGAACATCATTCGAGAATCGTGCCCAGTGGGAGCATTTGTTAAGTTCGAAAACAGTAGGTGGCAGGATGCAGGCGAAAAGGCTGCCCGTACGAAGGTATGTGTTCGCATTGATTGATTGCTGGTGGCTGATAGCTTGTGCACCTGAAAAGCATTCTCATATCTCTATACCGGCACCCTTATTTTCAGGTTGGCGCTTTTTTCAGAGATGCCTTGCATGACTCCTACAAATCCAATTCCAAGATCAAAGCAGGGAGGAGCAGGACAAGGGAGCAACAAGTCAATGCTGGTCGTGCATGCGAATCAAAGGTTTCAATATCCGTAGCTGATGACAGCACAGGGAGCACTGGAACTGTTCTAGCTGGCAAAAACAAGAGGACAGAGAGTGCCACCAGTGCAAAACAAATGGGGGCACAGTCTGATGCCAAGGACGAGAAACAAAAGGCGGCAGATTCAACCAAGTTGAACAAAGGTGGCAATCCAAAGCCAATCACTGATGACAGCATTGGAAGCACCGGAACCGCTTCAAGTGGCAAAGACAACAGTGAAGAGAGTTCTACCAGTAGAAGGGGAGAGCAAATGTCTGAAGAGTCTGATGCCGATGACGAGCAACCGAAGGCAGCGTTGGCAAAATCGAAGAAAGGAAGGAAGAGTGTCAAGGTGCCGGAGCAGGATCCTGAGATGGATGTGGTCAAAGGGAAAACAGCCAATCTCAAACCGAAAAAGCAATCTGCAACCAAAAGTCCCTCCAAAGTTAAACTTGGCCTGAAGGTCGTAGCAGTCGCCGAACCCGACAACTGGATCCAACCAGTCAGACATGGTCCTGGGCTGTCTTCTCCTGGAAGCACAGCCTCCCACGATCCAACAGCAGCAGGACGACAACGACGAGCCTTGAAAAGGGGGCAGAAGCAACCACTATCTCCACAGGGAGATACTACCAATCACAGTACTGAAGAGCAACAACCCAAGATTTCGGCTCCACTGGACGGCAATACTCCAGGGGCAAAGAACAGCACCTGCAAGCCACAATCAGAAAAAGCGGGAGCAGAAAGAGCAGCGGAGGAGGAAACAAAGGAGGCCACCAAAAGTATCAAGCAGCCATGTTGTGCAAAGGCACCGGAACATGAAGAAGACCAGGAAGAAGGATCTTTGGTGAACACTTCAAAGAGCAGTCGAAAGCGAAAAGCAACCAAAGGTGCGACAGCGCAGCAGGAGCCCAAGCGGACAAAGGGAGAAGTTCAAGAAGTACGTGTCATGACTAGCAATGTTACCCTCACTAAAGCGCAGGAAAGGATGCTGGAGAAGCTCGGCGGAATGTTCGTAGAAGACGTGAGCGAAGCACAGTGGGCGACACACGTCATAGTGGTCAACCCGAAAGACAAAAAGTCCACTGTCAAGCGAACAACGAAGCTTATGGTGGGGATGTGCAACAGTGCAATAGTTGGTTTGGACTGGTTGACCGAGTCTTTCAAGGCAAAGGAGTTCTTGCCTGCAAAGGGCTATTACATCACTGACAAAGCCGCGGAAGCCCTGTATGGCTTCTCAATGCAAACAAGTCTCGAAAGAGCCGAAAAGCTGCGTTCGAACGAGAAGAATGTTCTCTCAGGTTGGTCGGTTTTTCTATGCCATGGAGTTGCTGGCAACATGAGCCCACCAGGTACGTCAATTTGCCACCACCGCTAGCCGAGGAAGGCAAGCATGCCGCTTACGTTTACAAATCGCATTTCCGCATCTCCAGAGGAAGAATGGGGTTATCTAGTTGAGGGGGCAGGCGGCACCTTCATCTCTTCCATGTCCCAAAAGACTGTTTCGGGCATCGATCTTCGAAATCTCGTAATCATCACAAGTGATCCAGAACAAAAGACGCAAACTAAATCGAACCTCATTCGGTTTGCTCTCGAGAATGGTGCAAAACAAGTTACCACATCAAAGTTTTTTTCATTCATTATGAACCAGAAGATGGACTTTGATACTACTGCTTCAAAATCTGATGCAACCAATCGAAAGATGCGCCCACAAGATGCCACACAAGCAGAATCTGTTGTGCTGACAACTGATGGCGGTGGAGCACGCCAAGCCAACGTGGATGACAAAACCGGGAGCACCAGAACTGCTACAGGTGGCAAAAACAAGAGGACGGAGAGTGTTACCAGTGCGAAGAAACTGGTGGCAGACTCTGATACCGGGCATGAGAAGCAGAAGGCAGAGTCAAGCAAACCGAGGAAAGGTAGAAAACGAAACTCAATCTCGGATGACAACACAGGAAGCACTGGAACTGTTGCAGGTGGCCAAGACAAGAGTACAGAGAGAGTTACAGACAGTGCTAAGGATAACACTACTGCGAGAGCGCAAACAACCGTCAAGTTGTCGACGACAGGCAAGAGCAACGCCAGGAAACGAATGCACGAAACAACAGCAAAACCACAGCAGCCTAACAAGAGGAAGTCACGAAGATTCAAAAAGCACGATGTCGTCAATCTATTGACGAATGCTCACGTAGCCAAGCTCTGCGAACCTCAAAGTCAAAAGTTCCAGACAGAGGTTGCACCTGACCTCCTGGCACAGATCATGGAAGAGCTCCAGAAACCGCGGAGCGACAACGACAAGGAGGAGAAGGGCCTCAAGAAGAATATAAGCAGCAGTGCCAATGACAGCAGCAGTGAGGACGAAGATTGTGTCTTCCAGGATGACCCAATCGAGGAGCCGGAGTACTTTTTATCCACCAAGGGCGGCGGATACTTCAAGGGGAGACTCATGGATGATACTTCCTACGACTGCTTTCACGGAAACTGCCCGGATGGTTTTGACGTCAACAAAGAGAGCGAAAACAGGGGCGGGGTCGTTTTCAACAGCAGCAATTCCGAGGACGTCATCACGACCACCCAAAGGTGTGAACGGTCAGTTTGTTTCTTTGTCATGAAGGGCAGTCGTGAGGTTGTTGTCTACTTGGCACCTCCCTCGGCAAGCGTGGAAAAGCAGTTGGAGAAGTGTCGTGACAAGGATCGCAGCACGAGCCATACACAAGCGAACCAAAACTTCAAGTTTAACCCCTTTGAAATGAGTGAGGAGCAGTTGGTGGGGTGGTATCGAGTGGCTGTCCCAGTAGGGCATGTCATCATCATCCCGGTTGGATGGTTCTTTTGCATGAAAACTACACCTCGAGCTGTTGGGATAGAAGTCAAGGTTCAGGTGTTGGATAAAATCCGAGGATGTGGCATGTGGGATCCAGTGGGGTATTGCTTGAGGGATGAGCCGTAGCCTTCATATTGGAAGTGGGTTCCGCTATTCCAGCACAGCCTTTGGCAATGACGCGGCATAAACTGCGTGATGCGGACTCTTCACTAACTTCGGAACATCGCGTTAAAATCTCACGCTTCTGTGATACCGTAATAGTGAGGCATTCTGTGGAATCGAAAAACGGGAAACCAAAGGGAGAAAGCAAGGAAACTCGCAAAATATGGGCATCCACTTGAGCAGTGCTGTAATAAGGTTACATCGTTAGTATGGGATCTAATCCAAAGTCAAAACCGGAGGCAAGAACGTGAAAGCTTTCCACGTTTTCGTTGCCAGCGGGATTCTCTTCATTTTGGCTCGCCGCTTCATTTATTAATCGCCGCACCGCTGCCGCTGCTGAGTGTGGCTGGTTCCGGCATGCCTCTCAAAATCGGGTTTCCACGCTAGCTAGCTTGTCTATTGATTGCCACTCTTCTTGACGGCGTCCGGCACCTCATCGAATGGACAGGATTTGTACAAGGATCCATCTCGTTTGACCACACTGCGCACTTCATGCTCCAGCTGCAGAATCACCCCGTCTTGAGGCCGCTCCGGGTCGACAATATCGATGCAGCGGAACATGCAATCGTCCACGGCTTGCTCTAGATTGTACGCACGACGTTTGAATCGAGGATTGACATATGGCAGACCCAGCTCGTCGGCCCGCCGGTAACAGGCGGGAAGGTCGGCCACGTACATGGAAATATGCGGACCGTAGTTGCTCAAAAAGGATGGCATGCCTTCCACCTCTTCTTCTTGTCTCAAATCGACATGATGAGATACCTCGTCAATCCCCTCCTTTGTTTCAAACGTCAGTGTCTGCTTGGGACCAACCGAAATCACGCATTTCTTGGCATCCAGGGAAAGCACCGGGGCATCAAAAATGTGCTGATAAAATCTGGCAATGCCATCCAGATTGGCCGTGACGGGAGTGTAGATTGTGAGATCTCGCATGGCCAGACACTCGGACAAGGCACCGGGTTGCAGTCCTCGTGGATCTCGATATTGTTGTTCGGATGCGCCTTGTTCCAATCGAAAGGAGCTTCCCCACGGATCCGTGACCAACAGTGCGTCGTCGTTTGTGTTGACGACAGCAAATTGACTGCCGTCCAACTTGGATGCCACTGGTGTCACTCGATCTTGCAAGACGGTCAAATCGGGATACACCAACACGACTTGTCCACTCAATACTTGGGCATTGGGTGTTCCTTCCGGGAGATGGAATTGTTGGGCTCCGGCGTTGGCCCATACCGTCTTTTGACCCGATTTATAATTTTCTTCCTTGCGGGGATCGACGGCCAGCCCCAAGAAATCAAAGTAAAAGGCATTCAACCAATCATGGCGACCCTCTTCGTGGTTAATGTTCAAATGATCCAAAATGAGAATGTCGCCGACGGGTTGTTCGGTAGAAGTCGTCGTAGTACTACTGTCGGAATAAGTGGATTCTGTGGCGGCAAGCGTCCGTGGGGTTTGAATTGTCCGTCCCGATGCTGTAAAGGCTGAACCTTGACAAAGGATGCATCCTGCAACCGTAACGTGGCTGATCAGTCGCAGTAGCTTCATGGTTGCTGGAAATGAAAGGAGCCCAAGAGTATGACTAAACTAATGGCAAGGCGGAAGAATGACATTGGCTTCCAAAAAGTTGTTTGTTTTCCTTTGGAAAAAAACACGTCATTGTTTTTGAGGGGATTCTTTCATTCCGTTCACGAACGTCACTACAGTACAGTATTTGACCGTTGAGATCTTTTCCACGAGCCACAACCAAAGATCCTGTGGCCGAAACAACACCACAAACTTCGCGGCAGGGCCGAACACAGTAGCGACGAGAGAAGAGACACCACCACATCCAATTTGTAGGCGCTGGGAGCCTTGGAATCGTGGCACCAAAGAGGAGGCGGCAGCAGCAGGCAAATTTCCGTAAGACCGGCAATTCACGCGGACGATATTGTTGCGATCCTTTCGGGAGGCCCTTTCTGCTCGGATTGATGGAGACAAGTCAAAGTGCGCACCACTTGGCAAAACAACTCTGCAGGGGGAAACCAACTACGCACGCCCGAGTTGCCAAGTCCACCCAGGTAGAGACGTCCTGGCAGTGCGGAGCCTCTATAAAGTTCACGAGAAATCCAAGTGCCAAAATAAACAGCACAACCGCCCTCTTCAAGATATGCGTCAATTCGATTCAATTCGATTCGGGATTTGCGGAGAAGAGGCGGCGCCCAGTCAGGGCATTTCCTCCAGTTGTACGCAACCCAAAAGCTTGGCAGAAATTTGCATTCACATTGGAGCATCGTGCTGAAATTTCAGCGAGATCACAATGAGTAACAGCACCGCACGACAGAAAAACCGTTCAGTGACACACAGGTGTCCAATCATGTTAAAAGAGCTTTCAAATCCCCTAATGCTTCGACCACCATCTTGCGGAACCAAGGTCCAACACTCTACCATTCAGCCACTATGCCAACAAATCAAGCCCAAGGTCTCCTTGGTTCTTGCCTTGGAAGAGATAGCTTAGCTCCAGCCAATATGATCTTCCTGGTTTTGTTGTCGGTTTGGTTTGACCTTCCAAACTTGTCGAGTGCCAGATGTTAGGTATGCCACCCAGAACACCTGAGTAGTACGAGCCAGGCTTGAACTGGCAACCTTCAGGTTATTAGCCTGATGCTCTGACCAATTGAGCTACCATACTGTGGGGAGGTGTGGGGCGGGATTGAACCACCGACCTGCTGATCTGCAATCAGCCGCTCTGCCACTGAGCTACCACACCAAGTTGACATGGACTGGACTCGAACCAGCAGCCTTCCGAACTTCACTTGGACGCCCTCCCTTTGGGCCACCATGTCATTCCATTGGGCTGAAATCGAACCAACACCTTGCAGAACTACAGTCTGACACTCTGCCGTTGAGCTACCAATGGATGGGGAGAGCCATGGGCGAGAAATGAAAGCCATGGCCTTGTTGGTTGGTGCCTTGAGAGAAGCAACTTGAGCAACCAAAGCTGATGAGGTTGTTGGTTTGGGAATCAAACCAACGGCTGGAAGACGGGAGGATTGAACTCCAAGCTTTCGCTCGATCACCTTAGCAGGATGTCCTTGGCACCAGCCAAGATCGTCTTCCCCAGATGTTGGGTATGGGACCCAGATCACCTGAGTAGTATGAGCCAGGCTTGAACTGGCAACCTTCAGGTTATTAGCCTGATGCTCTGACCAATTGAGCTACCATACTGTGGGGAGGTGTGGGGCGGGATTGAACCACCGACCTGCTGATCTGCAATCAGCCGCTCTGCCACTGAGCTACCACACCAAGTTGACATGGACTGGACTCGAACCAGCAGCCTTCCGAACTTCACTCGGACGCCCTCCCTTTGGGCCACCATGTCATTCCATTGGGCTGGAATCGAACCAACATCTTGCAGAACTACAGTCTGACACTCTGCCGTTGAGCTACCAATGGATGGGGAATGCCATGGGCAAGAAATGAAAGCCATGGCCTTGTTGGTTGGTGCCTTGAGAGAAGCAACTTGAGCAACCAAAGCTGATGAGGTTGTTGGTTTGGGAATCAAACCAACGGCTGGAAGACGGGAGGATTGAACTCCAAGCTTTCGCTCGATCACCTTAGCAGGATGTCCTTGGCACCAGCCAAGATCGTCTTCCCCAGATGTTGGGTATGGGACCCAGAGCACCTGAGTAGTATGAGCCAGGCTTGAACTGGCAACCTTCAGGTTATTAGCCTGATGCTCTGACCAATTGAGCTACCATACTGTGGGGAGGTGTGGGGCGGGATTGAACCACCGACCTGCTGATCTGCAATCAGCCGCTCTGCCACTGAGCTACCACACCAAGTTGACATGGACTGGACTCGAACCAGCAGCCTTCCGAACTTCACTCGGACGCCCTCCCTTTGGGCCACCATGTCATTCCATTGGGCTGGAATCGAACCAACATCTTGCAGAACTACAGTCTGACACTCTGCCGTTGAGCTACCAATGGATGGGGAATGCCATGGGCAAGAAATGAAAGCCATGGCCTTGTTGGTTGGTTCGTTGAGAGAAGCAACTTGAGCAACCAAAGCTGATGAGGTTGTTGGTTTGGGAATCGAACCAACGCCTGGAAGACGGGAGGATTGAACTCCAAGCTTTCGCTCGATCACCTTAGCAGGATGTCCTTGGCACCAGCCAAGATCGTCTTCCCTGGATGTTGGGTATGGAACCCAGAGCACCTGAGTAGTATGAGCCAGGCTTGAACTGGCAACCTTCAGGTTATTAGCCTGATGCTCTGACCAATTGAGCTACCATACTGTGGGGAGGTGTGGGGCGGGATTGAACCACCGACCTGCTGATCTGCAATCAGTCGCTCTGCCACTGAGCTACCACACCAATTTGACATGGACTGGACTCGAACCAGCAGCCTTCCGAACTTCACTCGGACGCCCTCCCTTTGGGCCACCATGTCATTCATTGGGCTGGAATCGAACCAACATCTTGCAGAACTACAGTCTGACACTCTGCCGTTGAGCTACCAATGGATGGGGAATGCCATGGGCAAGAAATTGAAAGCCATGGCCTTGTTGGTTGGGTTGAGAGAAGCAACTTGAGCAACCAAAGCTGATGAGGTTGTTGGTTTGGGAATCAAACCAACGGCTGGAAGACGGGAGGATTGAACTCCAAGCTTTCGCTCGATCACCTTAGCAGGATGTCCTTGGCACCAGCCAAGATCGTCTTCCCCAGATGTTGGGTATGGGACCCAGATCACCAGAGTAGTATGAGCCAGGCTTGAACTGGCAACCTTCAGGTTATTAGCCTGATGCTCTGACCAATTGAGCTACCATACTGTGGGGAGGTGTGGGGCGGGATTGAACCACCGACCTGCTGATCTGCAATCAGCCGCTCTGCCACTGAGCTACCACACCAAGTTGACATGGACTGGACTCGAACCATCTGACACTCTGCCGTTGAGCTACCAATGGATGGGGAATGCCGTGGGCAAGAAATGAAAGCCATGGCCTTGTTGGTTGGTGCCTTGAGAGAAGCAACTTGAGCAACCAAAGCTGATGAGGTTGTTGGTTTGGGAATCAAACCAACGGCTGGAAGACGGGAGGATTGAACTCCAAGCTTTCGCTCGATCACCTTAGCAGGATGTCCTTGGCACCAGCCAAGATCTGTGGTACTGTTGTTGGTTTGGTTTGGCCCGGCAAACTTGTTGAGGGCCACAGCCAGAGTTGAAGCGGCAGGCTTAAGGAAGGCTTGAATGTGCTGGCTTTTTAAAAGGCAGTTTCAGTCAGCAAGCCGAAGACTGCTGGGCTGGTGGTTTCGACAGCGAAGAAACATTCTGTATTTGTCACTGTATGTTACTGTATGTTACTTATGCAATGGACCAATCAATTTGCCGTCCGTCATTGTTAACGGCAGATGTCAGTGTCGTGGCCTGGTCTAAGTGCATCTCGGAGGAGCGCCATGAAGCCATCAGCATTTTGGAATGTGCTAGCACCATCGAATTGGAACCAACGTGTGAACGGGAGAAAACTCGAGTAGCTATGCTTGTTTTGCGTCGTTTGCTTTTGTGTGAGTTTGCTTGTGGTATGGTTTTGATATGCCGAGCTCGAAACGTTTGGGGACGAACAAACGTGCCCTCGTTTTGGGTGCGGGAACGAAAGAAAGCATGCAGAGCTGGCATTGCGTGACTTCTTCTGGGCCTGTTCGAAAAGCAGTCCAGTTGACCGCAGACCGTGTGCCCCAGGCTACACTTGCTGGAGAGCAGAACTACAGTACATTGCCTCATAATACAGTATTAGCGCGATCATCATGAAGACAGCTTCTGTTGCAATTACTGTCCTTTGCCTTGTTTTGATGTTGTGGCCTCAACGACGGGCATTTGCAGTTCTCCACGCAGTCCAACCAAGAGGCCTTCGATAATGGCATCGGTCAATTCCAGTTCGGAGCAAGGTCACTTTTAGCAGTGCGAGATTGGTGGATTAGATTTGTAGTTTGATCCGAGCGCTGTTCTCTTCATTGGTAGTTTTTCTTTTTGGGATCTAGACTCTCGGCCTTCCAAGGCTCGGATGAATGGTGGCCGAAACACCGCGCAGCTATGTCTAACACCGTTGCCGGGTGTCGCGACGAAAGGGTTGTACCTATGTGGAGATCCCCTCCTTGTCTTTGTGCCGGAGTGGACAAGCGTCCACACCCTGGACATTCGACAAGCCTTCAGTGCTAATACAATAATTGCCCAGATTTTGATAATCGGTTCTAGTGTTTGTGGAGAAACTGTAGAGCTCGACGACACATCAAGCAACACAAACAAGGCGCCTAACTGTCTGGCTCGGCGTATGCATCTGTGGGGAACAAGGACGTGCTATGACCTTTCCAGGAAAATATTGCATGTAACCTCATAAGAAGCACAATCCAATTTTAATCAACGCGGCGGCTGGGCACTATTAGATTGACTAGCGAATAGTCGATCCAATCTGCCCGTTACCGACCGGAAAGACTGGAGAGGAAGGCTTCCGTTCTTCGATTGTCATTGTTTGTCGGGTCTCTGGTTTGCTAGTTGAGAAAGACTCCAAATGCGTAGGGCCCTTCCCGTGCCACTCGGATCTTTCCCAAGGTTGCAATCTCCGACTGTCTCACCATACAACCTCGAAAACCCAGTTTCAGGGAATCTGGATATTCCTCGTACCGTTTGTCACCGTCAATTTCCATTCGCCCATTGCGAAAAGGATACCACATGTTTTGGGATTCTATTAAGCCTTCAAATGACCAAGATTGAGCGCTTTCCCAGGATGCATTGTCGTAGTCATCAAAGTTCCAAACAATTCGCCCATCGGGACCATGATCCTTGAAGTAGACCACGCGACATTCCAAGAGCTTAAAAAATTCGTTTGCTTCGTATTCCACACCAACTTGAATGGATCCCGTTTCGAGCGCATTGGAAATGTAGTCTCCAAAATTCCGATCTGTGTTGATGAGATCGACACGAGCTTTCTTTTCTAGCGGATCCAGCTGGCCCTTTCGAAAGCAAAGACGGTCAATTTCATCTTTGAACTTTTCCTCTGCGGCTGGATCAATGCAGAGCAACTTGTGTGTCTTTTCATGTGGTTTCGGCAGGTTCAAGGAATCTCTCTTGGGGTAGCAATTAAGGCAAAGGTCGATGCAACAAGGAACCGCTTGAAGACATTCCTTTGCTTGACAGCGATAGCACTTGGCGGGATAGCTTGTGTCTGCACTGCAGGCTGCACATTCGTGGCGTTCATTATTAATGGCTTCTGATGGCGGCATAGTGGAAAGGTAGCAAGATTGGCAATGTCCTGTTGGAAGAAGAAACAGCGGGTTACTATGTGGTTTGTGTGCAGCAGAGGCTCGAGCTCAAGGAAGTGGGTCAATGGAGAGGTGTTGGCTCGTTGGCTCTGCCCTGTCACTCCATTCAAACAAAAGATCCTTCCGAGTCGTGTCGTGGATACCACACGACTCAAAGACAAAGATCTTGGCCAATGCGGTCAAAACGCGTGTGAGATACGTGTAGACTCTTGGAAAGGTGGTCCTCCTGGGATGAGGAAACGATAATGGCAGTGTCCTACTCAGAAGATTCTTTAGGGGAATGAATCAATGCGACCAGTAGTCTCACGACTAGCAAGCTAGAATCTACAAGAGGCATTGCTTCTTCTGTGGCTTTCAACTCTGTGCCATTCTCAGGCCACAAAATGAGATTGCTCTGAGTCAAAACTGCCCAAACGGAGCCCACATATTTCCGCAATCGATAAGAATGAGTAACAAGGACATGCTGGTTGGAATGGTCGTAAGGGAGACTGCAAGGCAGAGAGATTCCAGGTGACGAATCTGGCTGGAATTTTCAGCCTTCGCCGACGAAACAGAAGACGTGCTTGAATGTGGGTTAATGAGATATCATGGATCTGCTCGTGACAGGGAAGCCGGCGTACTGGTATGTCCTGATCAAACCATGGCGAGCTTCCAAATCCGATCTTGTAGTTTCCAAATCCCTTCTCTTGAGCCCTGTTACGGCGTTTGATTGTCCAGTAGCTCCTCCATTACCACCCAACTTTCGTATAGTGAAATAGATCGATGTGTCAGATGCTCCACCAGTTGTAGAAACATGAGAGCATAGTGACGACTTCCGGGCTTTGTCTTGCTCTCTCCTTGCATCTTGGTTGCCATTTGATTGACCGAATGGCGAAAGCTACCGAGTCTGTCCAGCAATTTTTCTTTGAAAAAATCATTGGCCGTGGAGGTCGTCGTCATGATGCTGGCATTGTCGTCACTACCACTCATCATGTCATTGTTGTTGGAATGGAGGATGCCACTGGTCGACATGGTCATGGTAGAAGGGCTGTCTCTCGTGGCGTGTTGTTGTCGTGGTACCACCAGCATTTTACGAAGCAACGTACCCATCTCCGTGAGCAAGGCATGCAGATCGGTATCCAGGCAAGACAGATGCTGTGGATCATTGCGGACAATTCCATCCAGCAAGACGACTGTGGTTTGAACGCGCAAGGCTCTGGACAAGATGGTGGCACATCCTTCGTGAAACTGAGGAGACATTGGCACGAGATAATGAAATGGATCGAACCAAAACAAGGAGAACAAGCTTTTGGTATCCTTCCAATCCTGAATGGCAGATTCGTACTTTTCCAGCACCACATCCAACGTAGTCGTTGTGGGATCGTGCAAGAGTATATCTCGATGAACCCGAGAAAAGCTAGTCCGGAGTACCGAGACGCGTATACTATCCCACATGTGGATACCGAGCCAGCTTTCGGTAGACTGTTCGCTGGCTTGAGAATCCATCCTGGAAACGACGACAGGTGTCGTTGTAGTCAGCTCCGTTTTGGGAACGTCAGCAATGGATTCTTTGCACAAAACATCGGCGGCAGCATGCAACACCGCCTCACTGCTTTCTCCTGCCAATTGGCATTGCTTCTGGATGCGCTGCAGCAGCATATCCGTGGTGGACCGAGGCAATATCAGCATGGAACCCACGGCAGCAATGAAAACTCCCATTGCGACATTGATGATTCTCCAAACGGCCTTTTTCCAAGGATCTTCCTGTTTCAAGAAGGGAAACAAGGTAATGGTAAATGTAAGGAGACAGAGGACCGTCCCATAGTTGTATTTGTTCATAATACTGGAAGTTCGGTCCAGTCGAATTCGCATACTGAGATAGGTTACCCCAAAACAGATGAGAGCGTAGGATAGATGCAAAAAGATGGCTCTTCGGTAGACGTATTTGGGGAGAATCCATCGAGACATGATTCCACAAATCAACGCCAAGAATCCTCCCAGTAAGGTACCGCCCAAGCGTTGAAGACTCTTTTGTACAACACTGGCAGCATCCAACTTGGGGAACCAACACACCATCAGGGACGAAACGGTCACCCACATACCCTGTGGCCACTCAATATGGATCCCTTCTTGTCCCAGTATTGGAATACTGTTGGTGGCAAACAGAGACGAAAACCCCACCAAGATGGCCACTCGAACACCAAAACGAAAAGCATCGCTGGATTTGGTCAAGTCCACGGGAAACAACAACAAACTCTTGCGCTGATTATTATTATTGGTGTGTTGTTGTTGTTGCTGTTCGGAAGAAAACGCCGGCTCAAATCGGACGCGACGAGAGCTGGAAATGATCGTTGGACCGTTCGTGTGGGTACTAGTAGCCTCTTCATCTACTGGTTGCTGGGAGACTACCGGTACTGGTAGAGGAAGAGGGGAGAGGAGGGGTTGTTGTTCCGTCATTTTTCGAGTGACAGTCCTTTTCATTGATGTACCGGAATGGAGTGAACGGGATGAAAGACATGAAGACACAACATCTTTTGCCGTGTCAAGGAAATGACATCTTTGGGCTGGACCAGTAACCTTTTTCATGCCACTCTCGGTAACTAACTCTAACCCTTGCGGATATAGAGGTCAAGCCGACAGGTTTGCTCAATTTTCTTAAAACTAAGGATGGATACTTTCGTCCGATCAAAGAAATTGAACGCCAACAACGACGACGACGACAACAACCACAACAACGACCACCGCCACTTCGACAACAACATCAACAACATCAACAACATCAAAAAAAAAAGATAAAGCTAGCATGCGGAGGTTTCGATCCTCCGACCTTTGGGTTATGAGCCCAACACGCTTCCTCTGCGCCAGCATGCTTTGTTTTGTTGCCTGAGGAATTGGGTTGGGTTTTGGTTTCAATACCTAAATTTTGCAAGGATCCCTTGTCAATGGTCGGGGACAATCTGGCTTCATGGTATTCAATAGGCATCAGTACTGTCTCTAGCAATCCACATGATTGAATGATTCTTCTGGAAGTGCGCTGCTCGACGCTGCATCCAGGAAGCAGAAACAATACGGTACGATGGGAATGGCACGTATCGCAAACCTGCTCGGACCTGGAACCCATTCATTGCTTGTCTGTCAGTGCTGAGCTTGATTTCATGGCAAATGTGGCATACACATAGACTATTTTAAAATAGTTTGAAGAGCCACTTCGTCGAGAAGAAGCTCAAAGCTGCGATCCACGTTCTCACCAAGGCACATACATCGTATTCCAGCTACCATCTTCGTCCTTCTGGTAGAATTGACGAGGGCTTCTCCTGAACCTGCACGGGGGTACGCCATATCAAGTGGGAGAGTCGGGCGTGTGGGGCGTCGTACACAACGAATCCATTCATCTTGTTGTTGTTGTCGAAATCGTTCTTCCCACTGATGCAATCATCGAAGCTAGCTATTGCTTTGTCTGTATCAAAGGCTCACATGCCATGGCGATACTTACTATGATAGTAGTATCCCGCATAATACCGGTAGCGACCCTTGTCATGGTAACGAAAGGATGTGCAAGGTTGCCAACGCCATTCCCATTGGCGAAATTGGTGTTCCACTCCACCGGACTACCGTACCGGTACCGTGCCGTAGTTCTTGCTGCAATTGGTAGAACTCATGAATGCTCATTCTTCAACCCTTGTGTTTGGCGCTTTCGCGCTCTTCCCTTCCTGTCCACATTCTCTTGCGTTTTCAGGCTCCAAGTCGCCGATAGATGGCTTCACCTTTCAGCTGCCAGCCAGTTCATTCCTCGCTCGCAAGTCAAAGGATGCAGCGAAGAATCGAACAGTGAAGGTTCGTACGACTATGCATATATAGACGAGCTAGACACGAACCATAGTTTCAGAGCACCTTAATAATAGTATTTTTTGGCTGATTTCACGTGAGGCAACATGGAAAATGGCAAAACAATCGCAACGTTGCGACGCAGAGGGGCCACATCTACCAGATGCTTTCTAGCAGTGTTGTTGCGCATCTACGTCTTTATCAATCGCTGGAGTTGATAGTTACTGTGAAGTTGATTGTCGCGGGCAATGCCATCGATTTGCTCAGAAACATTGTTGAGTTCATTGGAGATCTGGGCATCCATTGTCATGAGCCCACTGCAGGATTTCCTTGTGCCCTTGATCGCTAGCCATCCAGCATGTCATTCCATCCCATGGGCATCCATTTTCCCGCACCCATTTGAGAACATCCAAGTACCCCCCTAGGGCAGCATTAGCACAAGTCCTTTCATCCCAGGGACAACCATTGGAACGGGCAAATTTCAGAATGTCCAAGTGTCCACCCCTTGCAGCACTAGTACAGGTCTGTGTATCCCAAGGACAACCATTGGAACGGGCAAATTTCAGAATGTCCAAGTGTCCACCCCTTGCAGCTCTAGCACAGGTCTGTGTATCCCAGGGACAACCATTGGAACGGGCAAATTTCAGAATGCCCAAATGCCCCCCCTGCTGCAGCATAAGCACACGTCCATTCGTTCCAAGCACAACCATTGGAACGGGCAAATTTCAGAATGTTCAAGTGGCCACCCTGTGCAGCTCTAGCACAGGTCTGTGTATCCCAGGGACAACCATTGGAACGGGCAAATTTCAGAATGTCCAAATGCCGCCCTGCAGCAGCATTAGCACAGGTCTGTGTATCCCAGGGACAACCATTGGAACGGGCAAATTTCAGAATCTCCAAATGCCCCCTGCTGCAGCATTAGCACACGTCCATTCATTCCAAGCACAACCATTGGAACGGGCAAATTTCAGAATGTCCAAACGCCCATTTGCAGCAGCACTAGCACAAGTCCTTTCATCCCAAGGGCACCCATTTGCCCGTACCCATTTGAGAACATCCAAATGCCCCCCCTGCTGCAGCACCAGCACACGTCCCTTCATTCCAAGGACAACCATTGGAACGGGCAAATTTCAGAATGTCCAAGTGGCCACCCCTTGCAGCACTAGTACACATCCATTCATTCCAAGGGCAACCATTCGCGTGTGCCCATTTCAACAGCTCAAAATGGCCACCTCCTGCAGCAACACATCATACCCAAACACCCCAGCATCCCAGTGACAATTCTTCTGTCTGGCCCACTTCAAAAGCTCTAAATGACCGTGTTTGGCTGCATTGGAGCATATCCGCTGACTCAAAGGGCAGCCATTTTCCCAAACCCACACTAGAACTTCCAAATGTCCACCTTTGGCTACCGCGGCAGTTGTCCAATGGTTCCATTTGCATCCATTCCCTCTGGCCCACTTCAACAGTTCCAAATGGCCACCTTTAGCAGCTGCAATGCAGGTTGATTCATCCCATGCACAACCATTGTTTCTCATCCATTTTAGGAGTTCCAGATGGCCATATTCCGCAGCTTGTGCGGATGCCTGTCTGGCACTACCCCATGAAAATTTTGCATTGCGTGCCCATTGCATGACTGGAAGGGATCCAACCTTGGCAATATGGGTGCAAACCCAATAGTGAGCTGGGGATCGATGGTGGGAAGTGTCACTGTTCCAGTATTCAGCACATGCCACATTGTGGAATGCAGCAGAATAGTAAGTATCCCTGTAAGTTGCAGGTCTATGTTTGTCTTGGAGCTGTGTCTTGACAGTTGGTGGATTTTTCACAGAATCACAGTATTCTTTGTAAAATTGATTCATGTTCTTGTTAACGGCTCCAACAAAGGCATATTGCCCCATGCCAAGAGAAGGAAGGATATGGTTGATCCAAAGATCCTTCTGATCAAACACAACATCAATAGCGGGTGATGACTTCTGTCTTTTGGTATTGAGTTCAAGAGACATGATGCTGTAGATAACTCCCTGGACCCTCCTTTCGATGGAGCGGCAGACGATGGCTGTTTGTGGTCAAAGATTTGAACGTTGCTATGTTGTGAGCCCCTACCGGTATCAAATGCAGAAACAGTGAGAGTGCTAAAGGACTGTGTTTGACGGAGCCAACCCTTCCACGCTTCTAGTTGCCTCGCCACGGTGCAACCTCCACGGTAAAGGCTGAACAAAGGAGTGAACACGCTGGTGGTCCAAAACGTTCGCCGTTCCGTGGCTTCATCCGCACGCAAGAAGCGTATTTAGCATTTTGTCCGTCAGCGTGCTCCCACCTCATTTTTGTCAAAGGAACAGATAGATGTGCAGGTCACCTCCACCCAGCTATTTTTTGGCGCCTCCACACATATTATGCTACATGTATCTAGCTACTAGAGTAGTGTATTGTACGCCAAGCACCAGAATGACAGAGGATGCCAAGAATAGTACGAATAATATCACATGGCATCAGCCCACGGTGAGCCGATCGGAACGATGGAAGGCCCGTGGCCATGGTGGGGCCGTTCTTTGGTTCACAGGTTTGAGTGGCAGTGGGAAATCGTCCATTGCCAATCAAGTGGATTCCATGCTGGTACTCAATAATAATGATAATGATACGACGACGACAACAAGCAGTATTCACAGCTATGTATTGGATGGCGACAATGTCCGGCATGGATTGTGTGCCGATCTCGGCTTCTCCCTGGAAGATCGGGCGGAGAATATTCGTCGCGTGGGAGAAGTGGCCAAATTGATGGCGGATGCCGGGACGGTGGTATTGGCCGCCTTTATATCGCCCTATCGAGTGGATCGTGATCGCATTCGATCGTCGCTGGAGGGCGTGGCACCCTTTTGTGAGATTTTTGTCCAGGCATCTCTAGGCGAATGCGAAAGCCGCGACCCCAAAGGCTTGTATCAAATGGCACGGGAGGGGAAAATCAAAAACTTTACGGGCATTGACGATCCTTATGAAGAACCATTGAATGCCGAACTCATTCTGGATTCCAACTCCAAGTCAGTGGATGAGCTAGCACAGGAGGTTGTGCAGTGGCTACAAGCCAATGACATTCTCAAGATAAAAGACTCTTAGTAGTAGCAAAATTTGATGTTTCTATTATCAATCGTTTGATTCTATTTGAAGCGAGCCTGGCTTGGTTTGGTAGCCATTCACTTGCCACATCAGCTTTGCATGTCTATTCTGTTTTTCTGCTCTATCATCACCAAGCTCAAAAGCTTTCTTTCAATTCATTTGCTGCGCTTTCGTATTTGCGAGACGAGCGATTTGGTCAGTGCAAAAATGCTGTTCCCGGCCATGCGCAATGGGACGTAGTCAATGTACACAACCCGCAGGGCTTCTACGACGGGTTTGTTGCGTGCCCCGACAAAGCAGCCTCGTAGCACATCCAATCGCCGCCCTTCTCCCGTCGGTACGACATCATCCCATTCCTGAAACGATGTCACCATGCGGTCGTAGCGATCACTGTGCTCTTGTCGTTTCTGGTCCATTGCGGCGTGGCGGTTGCTGCGAAGAAAGGCGGGTTCCATTTCGTTGGCGACCGTCTGCAAGATTTGTGCCGGATCGCAGTGTTCAATGCCACAGGTTTCTTCGGCCATGGTTTGAATGCCAATCATAAAGTCGGAAAAGGTGACCCGTCCCGATTGTTCGCGGTCCAGTGTGGCCAAGAACTGTTGGTGATTATTGTCGTCATATCTCAACAAATCCATGGCGATACTCGCCAACCCAGTAGAAACCAATTGATCGGTGGTCAAATGCGCTTCCGGTTCCTTGTGATGTCCGTATTCCGTCGCCACGGCCAATGTCAAAAAGGCCAATCGGGCTTTTTGGCATGTGCCATGCGGTATTCCCGTTTGATTCACTACCAAATCGACTTGTGCCTGTCCCGTGGCGGCGGCTTGTTGCATGACTTGTTCGAGTTTGGCAAAAATCATGCGTCCCGCCAATCGCAGAGGTGGCAAATCTTCAAAGAGGACTTCAAACGCTCGATAGACGGCCGGTTCGTCGGAACTGGAAATGACACCCTCTAAAATGGTCCGCGTACGAGGATCTCGTACCGTGTACAAATCCGCGCGGGTGTAATTGCCAAAAAATGCCAGCATGTTGCGAAATTCCAATTCGAGTTTGGACAGGGAGGAGGAGGAGGACGAAAGTGGGGGTAATGTGTACATGGGTTCCAGTGGAGTAGTAGTTGTTGATGTGGATTGTTGTTGTGAAGGTGATTGTAAAGTCTGGATGGAAGTAGGAGTCGTTTGGGAAGCTGGAGATTCTGTGGTTGCAACCGCCACTGGTTTGCCACTACCGGTACTATCGATTACAGAGTCCCTGCTGGAGTCTTTGCCATTTTCCAAAAGTCCAAAAAATCTGGACGTTCGACCGTTGGCTGGCCTTGTAGCAGCAGTAATAGAGGCTGGACTGCTGGTTGCCACATGATTCTTGTCGTAAGAATCTTGCATTTGCTTGGTTCTGTGGCTGCTGGTTGCCAAGGACGATGATGCAACCACGGAAGGAATTTCTTCCATCATAGTATTCCCTGTAGAAAGGGTCATGGTACCATTGCTGCCCATGTTGTTGTGATGATAGTAGTAGCCATACACTTGTTGATGATCTTGATGTTCCGACTTGGCAAACGCATTTTCCAAAGAGGCTAAATCATTATCGCCACCATTCTGATCCACAGTCCTTCGCCGTTGTCCCCATGCCGTTTTGGACCATACCGCCTTGATGCGTTGTTTGGCGCCTCGCAACAGCGACAAGTCGACACTCCCACGGTTTGGATGGACGACGAGGAATGCCGATACTCGATAGGCACATAATAATGATACTGATAACAGGAACAACAGACGAGCCGCCATGGTCAAACTTCTCTTTTACTTTGATGGTTGGTGGTATTATAAAATGCGTTGGTTTGCAATTGTGACCATTGCTTGGCACGAGAAAACATCAGCTGCGCAAAGAAGGCCATTTGAAGCCTCGACATCATCGTGTCTTTCCAACAGACTGTTTCTTGAAGAAAGAACGTGGCAACAGCTCAAAGACCACATGACCACGTCGTCGCTGCCCAAGGTGGCAACTCGGAAGTGTGGTAAATAGGATTTTCGATACAAATATTCAGAGTAATTTGTATCTTAACCCTATATTTACCCTATCTACCATTAACTCTCCCATGCTCGACATTGCCTTGACTGCCACCGGATGGTGACGACACATCGGCAGCACCAGAAAGCCGTACCGTACCGCAAAATACGGTACCAAGGCCACTCCATCATGCAAAATGCATGTTCATCCTCTGAGCTGTCCTGGGTCCTGGCTACCTAGTCTAGATAGCTACCTACCTCTAACCACTCTGAGTAGTCTAGCTAGCTGGTGGGGCTGCCGAGTTGCACCGCATTCATGCAAAACCACGATGTCATTGCAACCTTCCAAGTTGCTTGCATTGCTCTCTCATCCTCTCCTGAGCTGTTACAAAATGGTACTGCACTCGCCAGCTAGCTGGATCTCAAGGCAGCATTCCATCAAGATGCCTTCTCTTCCGACCTCCAAAAAGGGATGTCATAAAAGCTCTAGCTTTGCTTGCTGGTATCATTGTGGGTACCGGTATGCAGTTCTCTTGTTTTGAGAGTCTTGTGCTCAAGGAGGGAGCCATCTTTGTTGGTGTGATTTGTCAAAGTAGAATATGCAATTGGCTGCTTGGTTGATTTCAGACTGCAGATCACTGGGGTCAGTAACATGACTATTTAAGTATTGGAGAAGTTGCCACTAGCACCATCTCCTGCACTGCTGTAGGCTGAGATACATTCACACTGGCAGTCGCATTGCACCAAATCACAATCAATGGTCAACTTCTTGAGGGATCCAATGACAAACAGACCACAGACTTCGAAAGGGACATGTCCACTCAGCGAATTGTTGTGCAAGGTCAAGATCTCCAAATTCACAAACTTTCCAAAGAATGTAGGGATAGGGCCCGACAGCTGATTATTGTCAAGCCTTAGCTCCTTGATGCTGATGAGCCTTTCAAAAGGCCGTTCGGCAAAAAGTAACAATGCTTCTTCTGAAGCTTCGTTGGGTTCTTCACTCCTAAACGAAGACAGGTTTGGAATGGTGCCACTTAGCCTGTTGTGGTCCAAGTATAGCTCCTGAAGTTCCCCGAGCTGTGCTGCTTCATTTGTGGATGCAAAAGCAAAAAGCTCATCTGGAATGGTACCGGAAAATTGATTCTGTTGTAACCTCAGTGAAGTCATCTTCTCCATCATGGCAAACTCAGATGGAAGGATGCCATAAAGTTGATTTGCTTGCAAATGAACAGTGGCCATGTTTGGAAGGTAAAGGAGCCCCTCTGAGGGTAATGTTCCCACCAGATTACTATATGCCAGGGTGAGACCAGCAGTGTGGTGAACTGCATTGCATTCGTAGTTCTCCCAAGTACAAGCAGACTCATGGGAGAGCCATCGATGGTTGCCTGTATTGGTCCAATTTTCTCCCCCAGTGGCAAAGTATATGCTGGCTAGGGCGAAACGGCCGAATCGAGCATCGTGAGAGTAAGTGGATTGTCGTTCAGCAGGTTGTGTCCACCAGTCAAATGCTTGAGGATTTGCTGCAGCTATTCGGACTGGTAGATAGGCATAGGCCGATTCAATCATCCGATAATCAGGACTTCTTGAATCAAACAGTGCGAGAAGGGTGTCACGACAGCAGGAACAGCAAATGCATTCAAACCGATAGCAGTCCACACAAAGTCTCTCCAAGGACCCAGTGATTGCAAGTTGACAAAGTTCATTTGGAACAGTACCGACAATGTTGTTTTGACTTACTTGCATTTCAACAAGGTGTGAAAATTTTCCAAACTCAAGAGGTAGTGCTGTCAACAGATTGTTTTCGAGCCGAAGTTTGGTGAGCTTGGTCAGGGCAGAAAGCTCTGTGGGCACTGCTCCTCGCAGAGAATTGTTTGCGAGGGAAAGTTCTGAAAGTAGGGTTAGGAAAGAGATCTCTTCTGGAATCGTACCAATGAGCGGTGCAAATCTTCTATCAAGGGCAGAAAGCTCAAGAGGTGTCAGTGACGCAGAAAGATCAAGAGATGTCAGTGATGATAAAAGTGAGATCTCTGTCGGAATTTTTCCTCCTCGTGGCTCCGGAAGATGGATTCTCTGGTACATTCCATTCTTGCAATCAGGTGGTGAGCCCCCGAGATTCCATTCACATTCGGGTGTATCCATGTCTATCCACTGTTGTGCTGGTGTGCGTATGGCAAACTGCAGTGTCGCAAGTGCGAACAATTGCAGTTTCCTCCAGTTCTCAAATGATTCATATTCAGGGTGGCTTTTAACCCAATCGTAAGCCTTAGATGGGGGGAGGAGATCATCAAGTGGCGACTTTTTGTCGCTTTGACCGCCAACAATAACCGCCACTATCACAGCAATAACTGCTATAAGGAGAATAGCACCAGTCAACACATAAAGATTCCTCGAGTTGTCTCGCTTCAGAGCTGGATGTTCCCCAAAAGTTCGGAACTGGTGGATCCATTCATCAATCTCGTTGTAGTCATGCTCCTCTTGAAGAGCTGCTAGAATGGTTTCTTTGTCCTCTTGGCAGGAAGCTTGAGCATCCAAGCAACTGGATTCCAATTGTGAGAAAACATCCGGCCCAGTTACGTGGGTCTTATCAGGTACTAGACCGAATTTCTTGGCATACATGAGTTCGCAAATGCACCAAATTCTGCTGTAGAGGTCTGTTGTACTGTTTCGGACCACCAAAAAATAGGAAGCTTCCTTTAGTGCCATGACAAATGGTGCATTTGATAGCTCCTTAGACAATTGCTGTTGCAGCAGCGAGTGGTTGCCCTGGATCAAAGCAAAGCTGCAAATCCACTTTATTCAGGATGTCAGCAAGCAACCACCGGAATCACTTGATATCTTTGTCCACAAGACTATCACATGTTCTAACTTACCAAATTTGGCTTTTTTGTACTTGTGTGAAAAGCTGACCGGATGGAGTCCACAAAGCTTGCGAAGGATTCATCCCTGCCAGGATTCATCGAAGAGCATTGAGTGGCCACAACAGTTAGTTCGATTTCAAACATTGGATGTTGGTAGCCTCGAAACATGATGTAACTTAATCCATTAAGAAGACGTACCATGAATGGGTAATGAAAACATCAAGTTTAAGCCCCAAAGGATTCAGGCTCAGGGCATAGCTTGTCCAAGTCCTCTTGCACAGGGGCTCAATCATTCTCTTGTTGATATCTCTCATAGTCTTTTTGGAATAACTGCGTCCAAACAACCTTGCTGCCAAGGCATCAACATGCATGAGTTGATCATATGTAATGGCCCACAAATCAGGAGAGAGAATTGCCTTCTCCGTCTGTGAAACTTCACTGGCATCCAACATTGCTCTGGAAAACCTTGGGGCAGGAGCCATAGAAGCTTCTTTCATCGCTTCGTTAACTGTCTTCTTCAAAGAATCAATTGCAAGTAGCTTTTCTTTGACCTCTTCAAATTCTCTGTCATGCAGCATCTGAAGGAGGGTCTCCTTGCACGTGGACAGGGCATGGTCGAATGTAGAAGATAGAGAATCCAATGCTTCGCTGGGTGCACTACTATCATCTCCCACATGGTTCTTGGTCTCCTCTTCGTCGCCGTCCGGTCCCTTCACTGCAACCATCCTTGGCAGGGTGTGGGACTCACATGAAATACACGCTGCGTGTACTCGATGTGAGTACGGGTATTGAGTACTGAGTATACTCAGTACCCATACTCACCTGACCCTTGAAAATGTGAGTAATACTCAATACCCGTACTCACATGACTCCGGATTCTGAGTACTTTTTGAGTCTTCGGTGAGTACTTCGGTGAGTACTTCGAAGTGAGTACCAGTGAGTACTCGGTGAGTATTTTGTGAGTACCGAGTGAGTATTTCGCCAACTCGCAGCCCCACAAATTTCCCATTTTCTCACTTTGAGCTTGTTCATTGAAGCTTTGAGCTTGTTCATTGAAGCTTTGGAGCCACTGTTGACTCTAGCCACTCTTCTCTTCTGTTCTGTTGTCTCTTCTGTTGTCACCATGGCTGTATCTGATGAGGAGGATGATGACATCTTGTCACAGGAAGAGCTTGAGGAAGCTGTCAATGGAGCTGGTGGATTGGAAGAACCGGAACAAGAAGAAGATGATGATATCGAAGAAGCTGCAGCTGCCGATATTGATGCCATGGTGGACCTTTACAACAAGATTGATGAGCCCCCAGCCCAGAACTAGAAAAACCTAGATAATTTCCCTAAGTAATTGATTTATGAGTACTCAGTGAGTAGTCTATAGTACCCACAAAGTACCTGTACTCACATGATACCCGTACCCACTTGACCCTGGCAATTGTGAGTATTACCCAGTACCCATACTCACTTGACTTTGGAATTGTGAGTACTACTCAGTACCCATACTCACATGCTAAAACAGTGTGAGTACCACGCCCTGATCCTTGGCTGCAAACGTGGGAGGAAACGAAGAAGAAGGAGGTCCGGTTGTCCGTTTGTCTTTACAGAATTAAAGTGCATTTTGCACGGGCGTTTTGGGACAACACCAATTTACTATACCAAACACAGTACAAATTGAAATGCCTTCAGTGTCCCACTGGGATATTGAGTAGAGCCACCTAGAAAGTTTCCGTGCACAACTATATCCTAATCTCAAGAGAAGGAGAAGAAAGGGATCAAGCATTAACATGAAACATATTCCTTGATTTGACTTGCTTAGAGCATACTTGAGTGCTTTGTTGTATGATTGAAATTGCCTCCAATACCTTGTTTGGCATTTTAAAAGTAAAAACGTCATTTGGGACAATCCATACAGTACAAAGTGGGTTTAATCTGAAATGACCTCATTTAACACTGGATAAAGCACGGTCCCAGTCAAAACCCACTTTAATCTCGTACTCAGAGCACATGGAGAAGATTGCCTTTTGATATACAGTGTACCGGGCAGACCCCGCTGAACACGTTTATATACCCGGCAGACCCCGGTGATCTCTGAACACAAAAATTGTGGTGGTGGTTGGTTGGTTGGTTATCCTTAGGGTTAGAGTTTATCTAAAAACGAAGCCCCCTCTTGGGCCCCCACATTTCTTACACATTCTCTTTTATAGCAACGGATCCTGAATATTTTCCTCACATTTGCACACCTCTAAACTCCCGTAAGCTACCACGCCACTTTCTCAGATGGAAAATCTAATGTCTCACGTTGCACATCTCTAAACTCCCGTAAGCTACCACACCTCTTTCTCAGACGGAAAAATCTAACGTCTCATGTTGCACATCTCTAACCTCCCGTAAGCTACCACGCCACTTTCTCAGACGGAAAAAATCTAATGACACTACCTCAGCCAAACTTCAACAATATTACTATGCCGGCCCATCTTTTTTAAAAGTCAGCTTGCCCGGATTATTACACCTCCGGTGTCCTTTATTGTGGTGGTGGTTGGTGTGGTTGGTTATCCTTAGGTTAGAGTTTATCTAAAAACGAAGCCCCCTCTGGGCCCCCACATTTCTTACACATTCTCTTTTACAGCAACGGATCCTGAATATTTTCCTCACATTTGCACACCTCTAAACTCCCGTACGCTACCACGCCACTTTCTCAGATGGAAAAATCTAACGTTCTCATGTTGCACACCTCTAAACTCCCGTATGCTACCACACCACTTTCTAAAATGGAAAAATCTAACGTCTCACGTTGCACACCTCTAAGGTCCAGTAAGCTACCACGCCACTTTCTCAGATGGAAAAATCTAACGTCTCATGTTGCACACCTCTAAACTTCCGTAAGCTACCACGCCACTTTCTCAGACGGAAAAATCTAATGACACTACCTTCAGCCAAACTTCAACAATATTACTATGCCGGCCCATCTGTTAAAAGTCAGCTCGCCCGGTATATCTATTACACCTCCGGTCTCCTTTATTTGTGATGTTGTCGTTGCGTTACCGATCTTTTTGCTATCCCTAACGCTACTGTGGATCTGATCTTCGTCGAAGATCTGCGTGATCCCGTCGGTGGTCGACCATGGCCACCACAGCCCTGCAACATCGCTCCTTGGCTGACAATAGCAGTACCTTCGGGCTTTTCAATTAACCAACTGTAGACGATCATTATGTCAGACAAATCCTCAGACTCAACATGGAAGCTCCCAGATGGCTTTGAAGATCACCTAGAAGCTGGTAAGAACATGAATCATGCCGTTGCGCCGTGATGAGAGTTTGGTCGCACTACTTTGACTCTTTTGGGTAACTAATCCACGAGCTGACCACATTGCTACCTCTTTCCATTATCCTGATAACTCTCCCCAGGCGTGATCAAAACCATTGTCGGAGCTGCCGCTGGTGGTGCCATTGGAATGGTCCTCTTTCGATCAGGGGGTGGATGGAGAGCTGCCAGCGCTGCTGCTGGTGTTGGTGCCGCTTGGGGGTCCACCTATGAGAGAGCCATGGCCAGCAAGAAGTAAACAAACACAAAAAGAATGCAAAGAAAACAGAGCAGGACAAGTCAATCATCATCGGCTGGAAGAGAGAATTCATCGCCGGTGTAGAAACTATTCTGCTATTATAGACCAGCTAGTAAATGCCAATGCCACAACTATCCTGCAATCAGCAGTTCATCCCCTCGCTTATTACCGGTAGCGTAGCTGTAGCTGGCTGGCTAGTCCTACAAATTATGGTGTTGTCTAAAACGATGTTTCTACCTACGGTATTAGGACGATTGCTGCTGCTGTTCCTGCTGCATTTTCCGACGCACATGAGGCGGGATATACCTCGTCCTACCATCATCGGCTGGAGGTGCCGGAGCAGGAGCTTCCTTGGGTGGTTCTTCCTTCTTGGGGGGAGGAGGAGACGCTTTGGGAAGTTCCGCGGGTTTCTTGGGCTTGGGGGGCACTACTTCCAGCTTGGGCTCCTTCTTGGGCGGGGGTGGCTTGGGTGGCTCCGAACCTTCCTTTTTCTTGACACTGGCATCGCCACGGAGCTTGCCAACCTGATCACCCTCAATTCCCATTTGGGCTCTCATGTCCATCTTGAAGTTGAGAATGTCGCCCTTGTATTTTGTGATGGTCTTGTTGTCGCAAATCCATATCTCTTGGGCTACTTGTGAAATCAAACGCATGTCGTGCGACACCAAAATCAACCCTCCCTCAAACTCATTGACCGCCTTGGCCAGGGCATCAATGCTTTCCATGTCTGACGGCGGGGTCAAAGTGAGTAAGTAAACGAAAGCATGAGAAACCATCTCAAGCACACAAGAGGCCAACGAAGACGAACTAACTTACCAAGATGGTTGGTCGGTTCGTCCAGCAGAAGGATATGAGGGACATCACGACCCAACTATTTTGATAAGGCGACGGACAAAACAAGGTCGCGGGAAAGCAAAAAGACGCAAAAGAAGTAAGTGAGACACGTCAGATGTTCCATACTCCATCCATTCATCTTGACAGTCCAGCTCATCAAAAGCACAGCTTACCTTGGCAAAGACCACTCGAGACTTTTGCCCATCGCTGAGTTCTGCCATCTTTTGCACTTGCATTCGACCACTGACGCCAAACCGACCCAGATACTTGCGCTGCTCCTCGCGAGGATCATTGGGATACTGCTGTTCGAAGAACTCGAGTGGCGTCATTTCCAGATCCAACACATCAATGAAATGCTGTGTGAACCGTCCCAGCTTCAAGTGACCGTGTGGTCGAATGTCTCCCAATGTCGGTTGCAGTTCTCCTGCCATGAGTTTGACCAGGGTTGTTTTACCCTTTAGAATTCATTCAACAACGAGACAGCCAACAATTAGGAAGGATCAGATCAGATCACATTCCTCATGCAGTGCAGTCTTCCACGACGACACGAACACAATCATATAACTACAGAACGTACCGCACCGTTGGGTCCTACCAATGCCACGCGAGAATCCAAATCGACCCCAAAATTGACATTCGAGTACAAGAGTTCACAATTGGGATATCCGAATTTGACATCGTGAAATGCCAATACGGGCGGTGGCAAATGTCCCGGATCTTGAAATTTGAAATTGAGTGGTTTTTCTTCATCTGGTTTCTCGGTCAATCCAGCCCGAATCATTTTGGCCAAGACTTTTTCCTTGGATTGTGCCTGTTTGGCATTCTTGGCCGTTCCATGTCCGAATCGAGCAATGTATTCCTTCATGCTCTTGATTTGTTCCTGTTCCCACTTGTATTGTTTCATTTGATTTTCTTCCTTTTCGGATTTTGTTTTGATGAATTGATCGTAGTTTCCATCGTAGTAGTGTAGTTTTTTGCGATGTGTGAAATGTATCATGTGGGTACAGACATTGTTTAGAAAATCTTGGGAATGGGAGACTAGCAGGAGGATGCGATTCCAGCGGGACAAGTAATCTTCCAACCAAATGACGGCTTCCATGTCTATTATTTGTGTTGTGTTGTTGTTGGATAGTATGAAGAGTAGATGGAGCATTGTTGTTGTGTGTGGATTATTGAGAGTAAACGTCACCCGTGTAGCATTGAGAGGCAGAATATGTATGATGAATTGGTCAGGATTGGAAGAAGAGTACACAAAAAAGGAATTGAAATGTATCTTCGGTGCTTACCCAAGTGATTGGTTGGTTCATCCAACAGCAAGCTGCAAGTTTCATGAGAAAGCAAGAGAAACATGATGAGGATTTCAAAACAGACAGCCAAATAAAAGCGTCTCGACATTGCTTGCTCACTTACCAAACTGGTTGAATGAACAACGCCCTGGCCAAACTAACTCTCATTCTCCATCCTCCCGAGAAATCTTTCGTTTTCTTTCCTTGCATTTCATGAGTGAATCCCAATCCCTTGAGGATGGTTCTGGCTCTGACTTCTGCTGTACTCGCATCCAAAGCATCCAATCGTTCGTAGACGGAATTCAGCGCGTCCATGACTTCTTCCTGTTGTTCCTCGGGTGTCTTGTCCTCTTCTCCATCCGCATCATCTCCTCCTCCTTCGGCCAATGTCGACAATAATTGATTGAGTTCCTCGGCTTGTTTTTCCAATCGCAATCGTTGTTCATCAACGGCCATGACGGCATCCAGTGCCGACACGGTGTCACTGGGTTCGACTTCTTCGTCCAAAAAGAACAAATCAATCCCCCGAGGAATCGGCACGGCTCTGGCGCCCAATGCTTTGAGCAATGTCGATTTTCCACATCCATTGCGTCCAATCAATCCGTATCGATTTCCATGATTCAATACAATTTCCGTTTCATCCAACATGACGGCACCCATATGCTGCAATGTAAAATTCTGTACATTAATGTCCCTTGACCGCGCATCGACGCCTTTTTTGCTCGCACTAAACGTACAAATCGTTCCAGCACTCGCCAACGCATCGGCCGTTTCATGATCCAATCCATCGTCATCGACTGCCTTGTCTTCTTGTACGGCATCTTTGGTTTCCGCCATGACTTCCGAGACACTCTTACTCTTTGTAGCAGTGTCGTCGTCATCACTTTTTTTGGATTTCCGTTTGGCTTCTCGTGCCGCTTTCTTGGCGGCCTTTTTTTCTTCCTTGGTCATTTTCTTTTCAAACAATTCTTCTTCGCCGCCGCCCATGGCGACTTCGGACGTTTGATTCTTGAGCATTTCAGACGCTTCGGGGGCATTCTGCAAATCCCGTTCAAACTTGGCCGCCGCCAAGCGGTTCTTCTTTTCGTGCCATTTGGATGACATTTTGATTATACTAGTATTTGATTTGATTTGATTTGCTTACTCAAGAGCTATATCTTAAGATAGATTGTAGTGTCTTTCTAGTAGCTCTAGCTAGCTAGAACCAACTCTTGTCCTGCATTCGACCAGCAACGGCTCCAACACTCTTTGTCTTTGACACTTTGCTTGGGAGTTGTTGTGGTGGTGTGGGTAATTGTTGGATCTTTGAGGAGGGTGGAGGAAGGGTGTTTGAAACGTTTGAAACAGTTGCGCGAAGATCGCGCGTGCAGGTGTCGAATGAATGATGCAAGTCGATTGTGATGTTCGATTTATTCGATACATGTGCCGGTACCGATACTAGCTAGTAGGATTACAGACAACACAGCTTTACTTTACACTTTTCTGTGCACACTGGAGCGTTCCTCAATCGTGCATGACTTTAAATCCGACCCTAATTTAGGGTCGGTTTGGGGAATCCGTCCCTAAATATAGGGACGGTTTCAAAACCCGACCCTAAAACGAAACCCGACCCTAAATTAGGGACGTTTTTTCAGAAACCGTCCCTATTTTTCAGAAAACGTCCCTATTTTTAGGGTCGGTTTCGAAACCCGACCCTAATATTGGTGCGTTTTCAATGTATTTACCAGGCAG